AGGTTCGAACCCGCCACCCTCAGTACATGGGGCCAACGCCCTACTCACTGAACCACAGGCACAACCTTAGTCTCTCTTTTATTTCTTCATTTCAATTTCTATGAACCATTGTAATGATTTCCATAATTATTAAACCAAATGTCAAATTCTATAAAGTTGAAGCCTCATTTATTTCATTATATCCTCAATGGAGGTAGAAAGTAATATTTGACTCTGCTCCCATGTAAACTTTTAAAATGTAAACAGTCTGCTTCATCTTAGCTAGGGCTTTTCAACCTTTTTATCTCACAGCACACTTGAACCTATAGTTAAACTTCCACAGCACACTTAAATTATGTTGGTCGAAAAGAAAAAAGAAAAAAAGAGGGGCACCCATAGCTCAGTGGTTAGGGCATTAGCCATGTGCCCCCAGGGCTGGTGGGTTCAAACCCAGCCTGTGCCTGCTAAACAAACAAACAAAAAAGCCAGGCATTATGGCAGGCACCTGTAGTCCCAGCTACTAGGAAGGCTGAGGCAAGAGAATCACTTGAGCCCAAAGTTGGAGGTTGCTGTGAGCTGTGATACCACAGCAATCTACTGAAGGTAACAAAGTGAGACTCTGTCTCAACTTAAACAAACAAACAAAAACAACAACAACAAATATGTATACATATATATATTTCCTGTGTTTTGAACTTCTTTTGAAAATAATTTAATTAACAATATTTAAAAAATTTTGCAGTACACCCAAGATCCTGTCATGGCACACAGTTGAAAATCACTGGTCTTAGCTCTTTTAGCGCTTTTAACTGCTTCTCCCTGGCCAGATTCCCTGTCCTTCTCCCTCTCAGCTCTCAGACACAGGTCTGGGTGCTGACCACGCAGCAAGGGACGCAGTCAGAGCTTAGACTCCGCATGGCATGGGCTAAGCCCGGAGCCCAGTGATGGGGTGAAGCGTTCAGCTTGAGGGAAACCTTCACAGAACTGAGAGACTGGCCAGTAGAGAGCTGATGGTGTTCTTGGGGACACACGGGCAGCAGTGATGGGGATTGAGAATGCCATCTCCGGGGTTCCGTTGCCTGGACTCCCAGTATCTCACAGTCATGCTGAGCACCTCACCACTCACTCTATCTTTCCCTTTCCAGCACTGTGAAATGTGTTTTCCAACATGCTTACCTCAACTGAGTTGTTCAGAGAAACGACAATTAAGTCAGTGTAGCTTCTGAGACAGTACCGAGCACATGACGGTAGCTCAGGAAGTGTGCAGTGTCAGCGCTCAAGGCACAGAAAACAGCATGCACGCCTTTCCCTTGGCTTTATTTCCTCAGAGTAATTTTATACCTAGAGTGATTTTAACATAGTAGGTGTTTAAGAAATAGCAACTGGACAGTTTGGTACTGAGGGTATTAGCATAACTGCATTTTTATCAAACTATTAGATGTTTACATCGGATGATCATCCAAATAGTGGTTCTGTTATTCCCAAAGCAGGACTGTAAAACTACTTTCCTAGTATGTGTCTTTGACTATGAACTTAGGCATTCTAATTTAAACTCCTCTTAAAACTGGCTGCAGCATCATGACAGCCCCACCCCACCCCTGTAGGTTGTGAAGAGACCATCAGGATGTGAGTTGCAGGGGAGCTCACCCTGCTAATTCAGGGATGGTGATAGGTGGTTGTATAAAAGTCCTACAGATTTCTTAAATTTCACTCATATCAAAACCCAAAAATATATTCAGATAGCACACCTAGATGGGACTCAATCTCTCATGACCTACTCTGCCGAGTTGTCCTCCTCTGGGGGGGACTAACACTCAGACCCCTGCACAGCCCTGTCTCTCAAGGGCCTCTGTCCAGCATGTGGCATCTCATTACTTGGACACTTGACTATTATGTCCCCAAAGTTTTTTTTTCTAGATTTGTGTCTACTGGTGAGGTCCTTGATGTGCTGCCAGGGAAGCAAAAATGATTTCTGATCTCCCCTGTCTGGATGCATTAGTGCCAGTGTGGGGGACTCAGAGTGCCCCCTGATCCAAGCTGCTCCTCTAGTCACAGACCACTGCAGATGTGGGACGTCCATGGCCTTTTCAAAGATGGGGTGCGTGTGTGTGTGTATTGCTGTCTATGTGTGCCCACATGTCAGCCACTGAGGCAGCATTCGTGGTGGCCGGTGGTGTTATAGCTGAAGTATGGCAGATCTTGTTAAAAGAAGTGCCATCTGGCTGAAAGGAAAGTCTCCAAGAAAAGTGTTTATGTTCAGATATACCATGAGTCAAAGTTTTAAGATTAAAGTTGTTTTAAGCTAAGGAGTCTGAATTTAAGAGGCAACAAAACAAATAAATTAAGTTTCCCTTTCTGAAAAAAGAAGTGCAACTCAAAGTAGGTATTGCTTTTGCTTGAAGGCATATCCACGCTCTGCTGTTTCCTGGCTGTGTGACCTTCAGCAACTTAACGCTCTGCATCTGGTGAAGTGGAAATATCTGCCTTGCATCATTGTAAGGACTGCATGAGTCATTGCATGCAGAATGCTTAGCATAGTGCGTGGCAGATAGTAGACACCCAGCGGAAAGAAACTGTTGTCAGTATTGTTGCTTATTCCTCCTCCATCACACACGCCCTCATGATGTTTGCATTCTGAAATGGGTGGTTGTTGGCTCCGTGCCTGTAGCTCAGTGGTTAGGGCACCAGCCACATGCACTGGGGCTGGCGGGTTCAAACCCAGCCAAGGCCTGCTAAACAACAACAACAACAAGAATAGCTGGGTGTTTGGTGGGTGCCTGTAGTCCCCGCTACTTGGTAGGCTGAAGCTAGAGAATCCCTTAAGCCCAAGAATCTGAGGTTGCTGTAAGCTGTGACACCACAACACTCTACTGAGGGTGATATAGTGAGATTCTGCCTAAAAAAAATAATAATAAAAATAAAATGGGTTGCTGGACAGTTAATGCCTTAGCATATGGAATGAACCCTTACTGGGATAGTTTTAAATACTATAGAGTGGAATTAAAGGAAATACATATATATATATATATATATGTAAGATATTTTAGGTAAAAATAAGCGGAAAATTAAGGTGAGGGCAGTGGTAGGATACACAGTGTGTGTATGTGTATTGGGGTATATACATCCTCCTATGAATGACACTATAGACGACCACACTCATGTGAAAATTAAGCTATCAAATTCTCCATTGCTCATGCTGTCATTCTGGGTATGAGGTTCTCCTTTCTTTGACTGTTAGAATTTATACTCTGTTCTCCCCAATGTCCACACCTCCCTTTCCAATTTATGTGACCTCTGGTGCTGTTCGCCTATTGTTTTATGTTTGTATATATAATTATCCCAATTATATTCCAAAGTTTAGAAGGTCACTTTTATTATATTTTGTTCACCTGAAACACAATTCTGAGCTGAAAAGAGGTGATATTTGTTAACTATAATCCTATGGACAGAGGTCGTTGACTACCAAAAAATGAACACATGGAAAGAAGATACTCAGAGGAAGAAGCAGGTGAACTTCTGGGAATAAGATTACTAAATCAGGTAGAATTTTGAAGGTAGGACTCTTAGTTTCCTGGATAAGCAAGTTTCAATTTGCTTGCTAATCCACAATCTTCTTTCTGTGACAAAAATAAAGAAAAAGAAAAAGGTTAAAGCAAATACAAAAGACTGAAGCCATCAGCATCACGGCAATGCAGATTTTTAGAGGGAAAAGATGTTTCGGTCCCAGAAGAGATTTGGGGAACTTCGGTGAGTGGGTGACTTCCTCTCTGGAGCAGAGGCTTGCCCGCAAGGACCTCCAGGAACAGACTCAGAGCTCTTTAATAAGTATTCCAGGAAGTCGGTCTTTCCTGGAAAAAACAAATTAGTGTGAAAAGCCAGTACCATGCAATTTCAGTTTTAAAAATAGCCAGTATTGTTCAGGCTGCTGTGTGCCCGAGAGGAAAGAAAGTCCTCGTTTATATTTGCTTCAGCCTCATATTCACGTGAGAACAGAACAGCTACCCTGAAATCCGTACCAGGCAAATACTGCAAAGCTTGGAAGGTTTGTATCACTCAGAATTCCTTTTGGTCCTTCCAATGACAAACTTTTCGGTGAGGGGAGGGGGAAGGAGGTGGTGTTCTCTTTTATCAGGTTGGTCTTTCTAGAAAGGACAAGCAAGGGATGGTTCTGCGTCTTTCACCTGGGACCAGAGCTGTCTCCCTGTCTGGCTCATCGCTTCATTTGCCTAATTACCCCACAGGCCAGCAGGGACGATCCCTGCAGCGGTAGCTTTGCTGACTGCAGAGACCCTACCTGGCACTTCAAGTTAGTGCGTCAGCATTTTAGGGTGAAATGAATGAAAAATCAATCAGGGTGACTGCAGTGGCAGCGTGCACAACTCCATCATAGTTTGTTCCTAATTTTCAACAACTCACCATAAACCCAAGCAGTATTTAAAGATGGTAAGTGAATCTGTAACAAATGTGCTGCTTCTGCTTAATCGGACACTTTTTTATTTTTGTCCTCTCTTCTATTTAGAACAAGCAAGTCTAACCTGCTTATGATGTCGAGTTTCCTGAAAATATTCTTTATTTGCCCTGGTCTTAGATTCAGTTTCCAATTAGACTAAGTGGTAAATATTCACATATAGATAGAGCACATTGTTATTTTATTAACTGATACTCCGAATTCAGAGGCTTAAGAATTTTCTTCAGAGTCTATTTATGTTCTTGCCACATCACGTTCTTACCTGCTCAATAACTCTGTAAATTAAAATCACAGTGTTTTAACTTTCTGGATTTATAATTCTGCAAACATAGAGTTAAACACTATTTGGACTCTGGCTACATGAGCATAACTGGAATTGTGCAAGGCTGCTGTCTTCAGCTCTCCAAGACAGCTACAGTAACTTTCTGAACAGATTGGGTTAAATGTTTTTACAGACCCATTCTACGATGATAAGGCGGTAAGAAGTTGTGCAGTGCAACACTCCAAAGGGTTCCAAATCTCACAAGCCTCTTTGTATGTGATGCTTTCGCAGTGAAGAAAATTCTCTGGGCTACAAAGATGAAGAGTTTACTTCTTCTGGTGCTGATTTCTATTTGCTGGGCTGATCACCTTTCAGACAACTACACTCTGGATCATGACAGAGTGGTTCACATCCAAGGTAAGGAAACAGGTTCTCTTATGCAAGTCCAATTAATTTCAAGTTACTTAGAGGTGAGATTCTGGCTTAGTGTTTCTTCATTCCAGTCCTGCTGCAATGACTTTTCCTTTCCCTTTCTGCTAAGTGGTGAACATGCTCCCAGGCTTTTGAATGCTCCTGCATTAGAGTTAAAAATTGGTGGAGATTAAAGTTGAATGGCTTAAGAACGTCCAACAGCAGTGAGTTGATACAATAGATGTGCTTGTTTTTAGCTTTTTAGTGCAGTTGCCACCTTCAAGTAAAATGGAGGGCATAAAGTTCATTTAAAAGCAAGGAGGGAGGCAGAAAGAGGAAGTAAAAGTTAGGGTGTAAGAGTAACTGTTTAATCATCAAGAGAAGCAATGTAAATAAAATAAAAGCAAACACGCTATGGTCCGGGAGAAAGCAGCTTACCCTATTATAGTCACTTTCAGCAAAGCATTAGTTCCTATAGACCAGGACAGCGTCCCTGCATATTTCTGTTCAGCTCAGCTGAATCCCAAGCCTGGGAGCTGAAGCGAGGCTGGAGGCTGCAGTGCAATGCAGCTATTTCCTCCTGCCCGGCTTCTGATGAGGGGCAGCCTGCATTAAGAGAGCTAAGAGACGTGTGCCGTAAGAAAAGACATTTCTAAAGGAGCTGCAACCTCTTTCCTTGCCCTCCTATGCTGAATCATTAAAATGAGAATTACAGAACTTAACAGTTTAACTGTATGATGACGTTAATTTTAGATCAACTCGGGTGGAGAACCAGAAGCATTGTAAGTTTGCTAAGACACATAAAACACCAAGTTCTATCTTCAAGGTCAAAAGTGTAGTCTCTGAAACCTGCATTCACTGTTGGGAAGTATGACCTGTGAAGGTCAAAACCATAGTATAAATCTGCCTGGAAGTATTTTCCTGCATGTATTATGCCTTCCAAAATAGAATTGTGAATTTGTCTGTGTCTAGCTATATTAGACACATCTCTTTCAGTTTTTTTGCTTCCAACAGCTTTATTTTTTTTCCACCATTGAGCCGTGAAAAGAAATTGTATAAACATAATTTTTTTCCTCTGCAAGCTGCTGACTCAGCTGTTCCCCGATGTATATAAAATCAAACCGATTTCTCAAAAAACCCTAGGCTATTTACACGTAGCAGTTTCTAATGATCTTTTAACTTCTAAACACAGAATTCAGTTCAGCCCAAATGGTAACACCCCGTCATTAACAATAGCAGTTTAAAATCCAATGTAAAATAAACTTTAACAGTGGTTTCAAGTTATTAGTGGAGATACCTAAGTTATATTGTAAATTATGTACAGACAATTTAGCCTAAATTGTATCCAGAGTATGAAAATACTTGTATGAAAGATCTTAAAAATACGCTAACATTGGAAAAATTACTCCTGTCAGACTCTAGTTATCTCGGCAGAATAAAAATCAAAACAAACAAACAAACAAAACTTCTGTGGCTGTAGCTCTCCCATTTCCATCTCCTCTGGAAATTTTAGTACAAAAGGATATCTGACCCAAGGTTTCAGAATTAGCCAAGTTATTTTCATAGAGTGTCTGATTTTTTTTTAAATACCTTGATAGTCTATTTTAATTGTAAATTCATATTCTTAGAAAGTGAGGGCTTGCCTTGAAGAATTACTAAAGAGCTTTCAAGTAAGAACTGCAAGGCCCCAGCCCCAGCCAAACTGCAACAAAAATAGCCAGGTGTGGCGGGTGCCTGTAGTCCCAGCTACTTGGGAGGCTGAGGCAAGAGAATTACCTAAGCCCAAGAGCTAGAGGTTGCTGTGAGCTGTGGTGCAACAGCACTCTGCTGAGGGTGACAAAATGAGACTCTGTCTCTTAAAAAAAAAAGAACTGTTTGTCAAGTCTTAGGTGCTTGCGAGAGTTCTTTCCTAGTACAGGGATCAGCCCTTGGTGATGCACGTTTTTGACCAGGCTATCATTTGGTCATTAAATTTGTTTATAATATCCTTTGCCATAAAAAAAAAAAAGAACTGCAAGGCCTATATTTGGCTTGTGGAACTTAATACTGAAACATGATTTAGGTCATAGAATTATGATGTTATGCCCATTCACCAGGATTTATTTTAAAATTGTTCCAAATACCTGTTCTCATTCTTTTTCTCCCAATAATTTTTTTCCCTTCAGATTGAGTTTTCAAATTCCACAGTCCTTCAGTGAAACTGCTTCGACATGCCCTGCCATCATTCCAATGAACAAATAGACCACTTAGCACAGCAGAGAATTAATGAGGCAGATGCCTTCATTGCTTCATTACTTGAAATATTATTTATTGTCTCCTATTTAAAACTTTTGCTTATCAAACATGTCCCAGAGGAATTTAAGGGAGTGGGACCATTCACAAAATTGTATAAGAATTTGTAGTCAGATAACTAAATTAGGAGTCTGAATCTCAAGTTCTTGGATCGCATTGATTAACCGTATGAGGCTCTGTCAGTAATAGAAAGTTGATCAAAATTCACATGAACATAAAGACCTTATCTCGCTTCCATTTTTCATTACATTTCTATTTTTGTGCACTAAGTTCTTTAGAGCTAAATAATGATGGGAGAATGATGACAGCATCCTCAAGTTCTCCTTCACTGCCTCGCCACAGATGCTCAACATTTTAATAATACATTCTTGAGTCTCATACATAAGAATTACCTAATTATTTTTCTGAAGGCTTCCGTGCAGTTTTGGCATGGAAAATTTTATAGCTATAGGCATAGAAATGTTTAATCTGGGTTGTGAAAAGGAAATGGGCAGATGGCCAGTAGAGACAGTGGCAAGGGTAGACCCCTATGCAAAAAGTTTCTAGTGAAAAAAACATTTTTCCCAGGTGTGAAAATGAAAACTTCCCTAGCTTCCCATGGAGAAAGGCATAGCTGTAGGTAAAACTTCACATGTATTATTTCATTTCCTTTAATTAAATAACAAACATTTAATTTTTTATTAAATTAATTTGGTCACACTAGAAAGCAAACTTTACTTGTTCACAAAGTCTACTAAAATATGTAATAAAGAAATTAGCTTGTGGGGCAGCACCTGTGGCTCAAAGAAGTAGGGCACCAACCCTATATGCCAGAGGTGGCGGGTTCGAACCCAGACCCAGCCAAAAACTGCAAAAAAAAAGAAAAGAAATTAGCTTGCATATCATATGCTGGCCTCAACAGAGGGAATAGTAATTTTATCAAATACTTTCATCAAATACTGAAAGAGATACTAGTATTAATATCATCTCTATAATAATTTTAACTAAGGGGCCATATTCTTCAGGTCATGATGTACCTAGCCAAATAACTTTAAATGTTTTGAAACTTGAGGCCATTAGGAAGAGTTTTATATGGAGTATCAAATCATACAAAAGAATAATATATAAAATATGTATTTGGATCCAGTCCAGAAACTCTTAACAGAAACTCTCAATTGCCAGTACAACCTCAGAGATGATAAATACAGATTTTAAAATGCAACTTTTAAGAAGACGTGACAGATAGCAGAGAAATTTTATGACCGTTTGCCCATAATGTAAACAGCCAACTGGTTATACTGAACTGTAACCTCTCGGCCTTATCAAGGTCACGGAGTTGGCGTTTCCTGCATCTGGTGTTCAAGCACATGTCTTCAGATCACAAGTTTGGGTCTTTTCCCTAATGCAAGATACAGCTTTGATCTTGGAAAGTTTGATCTTGCCAAATCTCAGTTGCCTCATCTGTAAAATCTGGCCTAATTCTGTTTATTTCATGAAGTTTTGTGAGAATGACACGAGGCAATACATGAAAAGTGCTTGGGATAGTGGCCGGCACACAGTAAGCTCCCAATACTTATGCTGAAAGTTGTTAGCATTGTGTGTGTTATGTTATGGAAAACTGATTTTTAAACTGAAAAGGGACCATAAATACTGGTGTAAAAAGTTTATGCTTTTCAAAGTATATTTGTTAACAGAATGTATCATTACCACAGTTCTAATAAAGTAAAATATTTCGTCCATTGCCTTCCTCACCTTCCTTAATTTCACAATTTAAAATTTCCCCACTAATATTAAATGTTATTGACTCGCTTTTATTTTTCTTGTAGAAACTGAAGCTTTCCAAACATAAATAATATTTTCTCTTAATATACTTACTATGTGAACACAGATAAACTATATTTTTGGGAAGAGTAATAAGAGGGAATCTCAGAAATCAAAATTATTCCTATTAAATAAGTAAAGATTGTACTCACCTTTCTCAAAAGATAAAATAATTAGATTTTTGTTAACAATGAATTACCAGAAGTTCATCTGTAAGTAGAAAAAATGTGTATCTAGAACCTCTGGGAGAGGTGGACACTTCCCACTCGGCCCTGCTGCCCTCCCTACAGGGGTCATAGACGCACCTTCCCTTCTTCAAATCCGAGCTCATTTTGCACAGAGCTTTAGCATCAGTTCCTTCTTTATCAGAACAGCTTTGTTACTCCAACTACATCGTACTGCCTGGCATACAGAAGGTGCTTAATATATGTTTGTTGAATGAGCAGATGAACAAATGAATGAGTATAATGAGATACTCCCAAATTACCATTATCATTAAATGCTGTGACATATGCCATTTAGCAGCACATACTGTGTGTGAGGATAATGAATATTAACTTGATGATTATTTTCATTCCCTAATGTTGGCATAAGCTAAGTCATTGTTCACAGAATTTAGGAACTTAAGCAGGTACCAGTATAAAGTGTTTCCCTGAAAATAAGACCTACCCCCAAAATAAGCCCTAGCAGGTGTTCTATGCATTTGTTAAATATAAGCCCTACCCCAATAATAAGACCTATCTGCATAGCCATACCATGCATTTTGGCAAGGAGAGAAGACATCCCTTGAAAATAAGCCCTAGTGTGTCTTCTTGAGAAAAAATAAATATAAGACAGTGTCTTATTTTTGTGGAAACATGGTAGGTCCTCTAGACCAAACTCCTAATGTACAAAGCAGGAAATCAAGACCCATA